GTGTCGATATAACTGGCTCATTTCCTTCCAATCATCCTTCCCCATCATACCCAAATTAAACAAAGCCCCAAGATTTCGGGTGATTCTTTTAAGCCAATTTTTAAAGTGAACCTCAATCAGTTCGGTCATAGGAGTCTCGTAGCACATACGCAGGTCCTCGGTGAACAGTGGCAACTTGGCCCGACAAGGCCATTTTGTATGGTTATGTTTAATCCCAGTGCCCTTTCGTGTTCTAGACTTAATCAGGCAATGAAGAAGGCCTAAAACCTGCACAAGTTTTTTATCTTCAGATATTAAAGTAACCAAACTTGGCTCTCTGCGCTGCTGCGAGGTGTCCACCCTATATGGAAAGTCTCTTGGTGGACAGCTACAGCTGACGCGCTTACGTAAACCATTGTGATGCCACGAAATAGATCCTGCGTGTTGGAGTTGAGGATTTCGGGCTAGAGGGAACCCGCGATGACAAAGCACAGCATTTAAATACGCGTTTACCAATCTGCTTCATACTGTGTCATTAAATAACATCTGAAGAGAAGACACGTGTATCGTCTATTCTAAAGATGCTAAAGGTAATGTCTTAGCCATTACATTGTAATAGTAACAAATGATTAATCTGTAAACTAAAACGTGTTAATTCCTCTCGCTCTGCTTGTACTAGATATAGCTCTGTTACAGAGACATGCTTTTTTCTTTAGCTAGCGAGGGTAATTCATAGAGCCTCTAGCGGCGACACACGAGACTATCCGCGAAAGACGTACGATGATTCATAGCTTTGATTTCGCCATAAAACAATGGATATTAGAAAAAAAATTTGAACTGAGTATGCAATCACGCCTCTCTATGTCCTCTAGCTTGAAGCTCTATGCAGGCTCAGTTCTGAACAGGCTAGCCTCATCACTACTCTGATGGTTTTTGATGAGCCTTGAAGTGATTAAACAAACGAAACGAGAAACCTTCGTGAATGATTTGTTGGCGCACGATGATCTCTTGCCAGGGTAAGTATCATTATTAAGCACTGAATTTACAGTAAATAGCTCAACATTTGTTGAGCAGTTCAATTTTTGACAGTTGATTTTTTATGCTATGAAATAAAGCATGCTCAAACTGGACAAGTCTGATATAATCCAACATTGAGCATTTTCCTGAATTATATTTAGGTACTACGATTATTTTGCATACTGAATATGACGAAAATGCTCGCACCGCTCGGCGTCCGACAGGATATTTAAGTACAATTATCTAAACAGGACATCGTTTGGCGAAGAGAAACATCTGTTCATAGACTCCGCTGCATAGTTGATAAAAAACGTAGCCTTTCAAGAAGTACGAAGATACACGTAATAGCGAACACTGTGACTTTAAATGGGACTAAGTACCTTAAGGATTGTGTATCGATTACAAAACGAGACCAAGGACCGCTTTATAATTTTGTTTTCACGTGATATTTAATTGGGACCGTTGGGTCGGGGCAAGCGGGTGAAATGATATCAAATTAGACTTACACAAAATGTGCAAAAGGTCCATTACGTATTCGAAAATAAAACTAAAATGTAACACACTTGAAAGATGACGGTAGATAGAAAAAAACGATGAGACAAACAAATATGTTTCTGTATTTGAACGACACTCGGTAATAACATAATGATCGTAACAGAAGTTCAAGCTACCGTATATTTATTCATTCATTCATATATCGCACGTCACCTATCTTGACCTATATTGCGTTATGGGTAGTTTGTTGCATTTCGTTCTGCTAGTTGAGGCCTGGAGTGCGCCCAGCAGACAAGGGACAGGACCTTCTAAAAAGGTTAGGTAGAGAGATACAAACTTATGACATAGAAATAGGCTACAAGCCAGACGGCTGAGCAGAGCTGGAAATAGACGCTGAGAGTGGTGCCACAGAAAATTTCTCTACCGACACAACTAATAATGACAACAACCCATAAAACAAACAGATAAAAGCAACGAAAAATGCTCAGCGTCAAAACGAGACCAGAAAGGGCGCTGAAAATGCTTGAGCCAAGGAGGCTTACGGGATAGAACGGAATGGCTGGCAGCAGCAGCAATTGACGGGAGAGTCAAGTGCTAAGCCGACATAATGAGCTACTGCGAGAAGGAGGCCCAAACGTCGCGTTCTAAACATGAATTGCAAATGGCCGACGTACAAAATGCCGCACAATGAACGGACGTTTGTTCTGTGTTGCCAACACAACGACATACGCGCAGAGGCTCTTACTAAAGGTTTGCATGCAAAAGTATCTAACTGAATTTTTTGCCAATGTCAAAATTGTTTTGATGCTTCCGACGATTTTCCAAAACATCCTGGGGAAATTCGGAGTATTAATGCTCGAAAACTCGATTGGAAAAAAGCAAACTCAGAGGCGGATAGGGCACTTCGCGAAAAAACCTTAATTTTTACTATAGATTTTGTTCCTGCATAAACTGCAAATGCGAGATTTGGCAAACTTTATCCAGAAGTGCAGGTCGGTTTTGCTAACAGTTCAATCAGAGTAAAAATTAAGTAGCTCTAATACTTATGATTCAAATGAATAAAATCGATCTTTTGAATTTTAAGAAGAGTAAATATGAGCCCTTAAACAGTGGGAAACAACAATGTATAAGAGAACGTATTCCCTTGTCTTTTTTGCACCTTGGGTAAACACATGGGAACTCGTATAGAACACTTTTCACCTGAGAATCGATAACAGCTGAGTGTCTCCGCGGGATCACAATGTTTCCTTGACAATTTTATACATGAAGACGTTCATGCGGCTGACGGCGACCATGAGGACATCGTATGAGATGGCAGCGTCGATAAAATCAAGTTCATCTCGGTGGATTAGTGGCATGTAAGGGCACCAAGGTAGCTAAATATACTTCAACTACCATCCCATACCTCGCTGATGGAAGCATCACCGACGGCAGCTGCAGCAGAGCTAGTTAGCCCTACCGTGGTGCCTCCTATAGCGTACAGCGGCACCAGCCAAAACGACCAGGCTGAAGACTTCGGTCCACATAATCTATATAATGGTCCTTAGTGCGGCTTAAGCCTTGGCATCTCCCCCATCACTTGTTCCGACCCATTTTCATGCGTTTTATCTTAACCTCATTGCTTAGCAGTGGTGAAGGATAGCAACCAACGGATAAAGAGATCATAGTTGGTTCACAATAGTAATATAAAACTACAGAAGCGGCGAAGACGTTAAGGCCAAGCAAACAAACAGAAATACGACGTACCATTGCAGCGGCTGATGTTTATGGCAGCAGTTCAGAGAATTAACAAACTGATGCACCGGAAACGGAAGTAACCACAGTGCCTTTGCGGAGACCTACTAATAATTCACGTTTGATGGCACAATCGGCAATTGCGTTAGCGAGCAGTCACCAGCGGTCAGCTGGTGCTCAGTCCACTCCATCAAATGAAGGCGCCAATGAGGAAGATGAGTCCGAATCACGACGCATCACTCTCACAGCAATGGACGACGGTCTAACGATGCTGATCGAGAAGCGGCTGATGGCGGGCGACATAAATTTAAGCAGTCTAGTTCACGTGTGATCTAACTCCTCTTAGGAGCTAGTTGCTCTTCGCACGGTCTTAAATTGTACTATCTCGTTTGGTTGATATCTGTTCATTCGGATCGAGCTCAGCATCTCTTCAACGGCTTGTACAACCACTACTGTTAAAACTACAACTACGGTTTCTACGGTAGTACTCCGTCTTTTACGCCGCTAGCGTAACTGATGGGGGTCTTCTTTAAACCGGGAGAGAAGACAAACAATCAGCAGCAGAAAAAGGACGACGACAAAAAAACACAAAAAGGCGGAGAGTAAACAGCGACAACCGATTGACTTTTTACATTAGGTTTGTCGAGAAACGCGATAAGGAGGGTGACCTGCGTTTATTTTCCTTCTGCTCCTTCATGGAGACACACTTTGGCACAATGAGCCTGGCAGCATTATCAGCAGCACCAGCGGCTACGGCTATTCAAACTCCACAGTCGCTACTGCGGCCGCTGACGACTGTGATGGGGCATATACTGATTAATGGTGCCTGGGGGTGTAAAGATAGACTAGGTGCAACACTTCTACAGCCGAGCTGCAGTAGTACTCCAACATGAATGGCAGTAGCCTGTGGTAATAGATTACATTTTACTAGTATTTTTCTAAAGATGACGCTATTTTTATAATTATGATGATCACCAATTAGTATGTTATGGAAAATGATCTTACAGACAATGCAGGATACTAACACCATCATGTTTATGCTACCTCTCAGAATCAGTACCTTCGCGATAGACTTACTATTTATATCTATATAAAGTTACTTTAGAATCAAAAATCATTAATTTGTCTAATGCGAATCTTTGCTAATAACTTTATATATTTTGTAGGATGATATTATTATATTGTGATCTTCTTTCAATTAAGAACTCGCTGTTTTTAAATCTCATTTTGGTTTACTGTCTCCTAGAAGCCAAAAATGTTCGTCAAAGTAATATTAAAGCAAGGATTTTTTGATGGCTAAAACAACAGGCATGCAAGAAGGAAGTCCTGTCCCGTGACACCTTATTGGCCTTGAATGATTTATTTAAGTTTTTAATATCAGCTGAGCACGAAGCTGCGTTGGCCTGGTGAATAAATCTTCACACTCCGTAACCAGCAAGTAATCAATAATGAGCCTGCCCTATGTCGAGGTAATGGTGTCAAGAAACGTTAGTCCTTTTAGCAGGATATCTCAATACTTAGTTCAACTGTAAATGGTACCATATGATACCGGCCGCTCGATTCGTATATATGCTAGAATGCCTTTATCATTTACCTCGCTACCAACAATAACGCATTCGCTTATAATACACACCGTTTGCATGTCGTACCTCACAAGTACTATCGTTAGTTTTCCGGTCTCGTAAGTTGTTCTTTTTTTATGTTGTTAAAATCAATTCAAAATGTTTTTTCTTTCTAAAGCTTTTCCTAAGCTGACTGTCTCGCTTTCTTTTCAGATTGTTTAGCGGGAAACAGTGTGCGAGGTGTTGTCAAGGGATCTTCGCTTCGGAGTTCGTGATGAGGGCCCGAGAGCTAGTTTATCACATGCATTGTTTCACCTGTGCATGGTGTAACATTGCGCTCACACAGGGCGACTATTTTGGTTCGTATGACATAAAAAAAGGAAGAAAAAATTAGTAGGGAAACATGCCAATAACAATAATATATTTCATTGTCAGATTGAGGATTGAGACAATGGCCCAAACGCTTGTCCAGGTTTCTGGTTGATAGCAACCAGGGGGCGCTGTTTCGAATCTCTCAAACATTATTATTATTGTTATTGCTGAAATAAGTGCTTATCTCTAATGCTTTAAAAGAGCTGTGCATCTGGAGGGCCGATGATCACGTTTTCGACAGTTAACACATCGTCATATACTGGCCTTCTCTCTCTCTCTCTCTCTCTCTCTCTCTAGACATAGTTTTTATCTGAACTATCCCAAAAAATACGTTCGAATTGGCTCCTCCTAATCTATTTTACTGAAATGTTTATTCCGTTTTGGGTACACAGGTATTCGGGACAATCTGGTTTATTGTCGAGCACACTTTGATTCTCTATGTAGTGAAGGCGAGCTCTCCTCAATGTCACTCTCATTAGGCCCTGGCGGTGAACTGGAAGACATAACAGACGGAGGAGGACCGCTCTCACCAGCAGTCAGCCTACCCTGTTCATACTCACCGGCTCTATCACCAGGACCAGGGGCATTGCAGACCGCTCAAGTTCCTGCCCCTAAGAAGGGTAGACCCCGCAAGCGGAAACCCGATTCTGAGCTCGACGGATGTGGAAACAACAACAATAACAGCAACAGTAACAACAATGCTCCCAACAACAACAGTGGCAGCAATCCAACGCAGCCCCCGTGCATACAAAGTAAGTCTCGGTTTCACCTCTATATACCAACTATATAGCTAGATGATCCTTTTATAATAGCTGATCTCGTTATATATATATACCTATTCATGAGTACCTCATCTACCATCAGACCATACGTGACCCTTCCTGGTTTTCCTATTTCGAAGTTAAATGTAGTTCCCAGGTATATGTATCAATCGTTTGCATATAATCTGACAGTGCACGCAGTTGCGCACGATTGTGGCCTTAACATCCCATACAGCACAATACATTTGCTGTCACTATCTTGGGAATGATTCATGCTCCACATGATGCTTGCGATAGCCTGCAATCATTGATGACATCAACCTTTAATTGTTAAATCAGTAGCATGAATGACTGGGTCAATGAACTCAGACGAGACGGAAAGGTTTCAATAGGAATGCAAAAGGACTGCCCTCAGAAAATTCATTAGTTCTACACGGCGATGCTGCGGGACACTGTCTGCCTAGATACAACCTTTGTGATTGGCTTTTCTTTTTCTGCAGCGTTATATCCTTTCCTTTTCCGTTCATTATATTTGACACCGTGAGAAGAGCATAATTAAGGTAACCAGGTAGTTTCAATATTCAATGTGATTTGAAGGTATCAGAGGCAATAGGGAAGGGCCTCTACTGAAAGGGAGTTCTCAAACGAAATGACTTCTGTTATGTTATGATTCCTTTTTGCCGAATAAGACCAAGTTAAGAAGGGCATCAGTTTTTTGTCCTGTTTTCGGAATAACATCTTCTTGTGGTTAACAAAAAATGAACACCATAATACTGATCAATGCTTCAACAAAAAACAGCTATGTTCGGTTTAGTTAACCGGGTGTTATTTTTTTGAAAAATGTAGAAAACAACATTAATCATAAGAGCCTATTACGTTTTAAAGGGCGAAGGCTTTCTACGATAGTAATGAATATGGATGATTCAAGAAATTATTTCTATTCATATTTATTGAATTACCTGTACGCACTTAGGTATACATGTTGTTTTCATCTACTAGAGAGACTTTGTGATGTCGTCTAATGGGAAAAAACAGAGCATTAATATGGTGAGAAGCGCTTTTTCACGGCCTGCTTATGCAGTAACGCCATTCTTACTGAATTGTTCGTCTACCTACAAGTTTAGATTTGTTAAAACAGCTTTATCGATAACAGTTGTTGTGGTAAAATGTTAACACCATCTTATATTAATAATAACGATAGATTATCATCTGATATCAGATGTTCACTTAAAGAAATAATGCACCATAAAAACACAGATGATACTGATAGAATCACGAACTTCCGTTATCTGTGCTCCCGACAAAAGAAAAAAACCGCTTCCAATAAGTTCTAGTTAATACGCAATTCCTTTGACTTATAAAATATATCAGGTACGTCGTCATGCGACTCGTTGCTAAGGCAACCTGGCAGAACCAAACGCAAGGTCGTCTGCGCTTCACGGTACCTGCGTCGCTATGTGCGCCAAGCGGCTAATTGTTGCATACTACGAGACACGCATTGTTTCCTTGGCAAATGATTTCTACCAATCCCAGTTTTCTAGAACTACTAGCGCACCACAAAATAGAAGAGTCGATGAAAATGGAGAGAAACGTGTAGACCTAATACTATACCACCAAAAAGCTGGTCATGATAAATCACTAAGCCGGTAGACCGAGTAAGACCAACAGATCAAACGCCGAGTAACAATCTGTTTCGCTAACAAAGCGTGGGAATAAATATGGTTTCTTTCTGAAACAACAACAGCAGCTACGAAAAACTGGAAGAAAACCAATGGCTGTAACAGAGACAAGTCGATAGTATAGTTCTGCGGGGCAAGGCTTTCCTCGTTGCAAACCTTTCAGACTCGATGAATATGAATTCTCTGATCGTGCCGTTACAGCCGCCTGTCTCATGTCGATGATCTTTTATGCGTGACGTTGTCAGATGATTGGGGCCGATGTGTACATCAGCAGTCGCATAAAATGAACGAACAAGAAAATGGGGAAATATGGGTCTGTGCTGTTGGCTGTTGTTGTGAGCTTTGTTAGCTGGTAAGTACGCGTCAACGGCTTGAGACAGAGCGGCAGATACGAGGCTAGGATGCCCTCCATTGATTTTATTGAACGGCAGCAGAAAGCGTAGCAGGATCATGTTAAGTCGATGTTGTTATGGTTATCTGTCACGTTGTTTGTCTGTCGGGAGGTTTAGTCTGCAGAAGCCAACTGGTTGGATAACGAAAGATAACATCGCGATGTATAGTTTTATAGAATCGATAGAAGAAGTAGTCCTGTTTTCTTAAAGACCATAGCAAAGTACTTGTGAAGATTTTTATGCGTGTTGATTTAATCTGGCAAACGATGTGTTCAACTATAAAAGCATGCTTATTAATTAGTAAGAAAAAAAAAGCTGCCCTAAAGTTGACAATAAATTATTGATCAAGATTGATTGCCTAAAGTCGATCAAAGCTGAGGTACAAGAGCCAGTGCCGTAGTAATACAAAACTTTAAAATAAATTGGTTAATTCGTGTGTATATTCAATTGTAAAAAGCTTGTTTAATGCTTGTTTTAAGACAGAAGTGCACGGTTTTAAACTAGGCCGCGATATGTTTACGATATGTCGTCAGATTCTAAATAACTAAAAAGTCTACATTTGAGGTGCAATACGAGAGCTTCTTTTTTGTTAAAAAAAAAGTTATTAATATGACGCATCCTTTAATGTATACTGCTCACTGACATATTTGAAAGGAAAAATATATACGTTATAGAAGGACCGTTAATCGAAGACTGACAATATTGCGGCTATCGGTTAAGGCCCTAACCGCGATCGAAATGTTTATTGTTTATATTTTTACCCGTAACTCTCAGCCATCACTACTATCCATGCCGGGTTGACGCAACATTCGCGTATTTTCTGTGCGGCTGCAGGTTTCACAATTCCGCGTGCCAATGGTTTCATGTCCTTATTGCAATGTCATTGGCTGTCTACGTCGTGACATCTTTGCGTTCCGTCCGTCGTCGGCGCTTATCCCTTGCCGGATTTCTAGTCCGGATCTAATAATTTTGTACAGTATATAGCCGCTTGCTCCCCGTATGGCACGCATCTGATCTTTTTCGTGGGTCAAACCTCTTTCCGCCAACACTAGTCCTTCGCAAGCAAATCTCGGTTCCGACTTTTTGCTTTACGTATCTACATGGACCACCACCTGACGGCGCCTAATAAGAAGTATCAGCGATTGCCCTGAAGGTGGTATACCTTCTGTGGTGATTTAGTCCCTAGCCGACTTGCGGTGTTTTAATCGGTGCCTTTTGCTTTCCTAGCCTGGTCCTTGAACAGCTTGCTGGCTTAGTCTTTGTGGTTTCCTCAGTTGCGGTCGGACGAGAACTTCATCCATGCTGCCAATTCGTGTTGCCAATAATAGTATATAACTGCTAGCAGCTAGGACTTTAGCCGCAAACGGACTATCGCTGTTTATGTGGCCAAGTATGGCCATATAGGCAGCGATGGTTCTATAACGTACATCATACCAACATTTAAGAGTAACTTGGTTTGTCCTATTTTAGCTCCACTTGAATGTCAGCTCTCTCCAAGTAGCACGCTCTCTCCGCTCACCTCATTGGCTGACCACAAGATAGCGGGATTGGGCAACTGCGTTGTTGGCGGAGGAAGCCAACGTACGAAGCGCATGCGCACCTCGTTCAAACATCACCAGCTGCGAACGATGAAAAGCTACTTTTCCATCAATCAGAACCCCGACGCCAAGGACCTCAAACAGCTGGCGCAAAAGACTGGCCTCTCCAAGAGGGTCTTGCAGGTGAGGAGACGGTTCTTGTCATACAAATAGACGTATAGTAAAACGATTAACCGAAAGGTATTTATTGATATTGACTTCACACTGATTTTTTTTTAGATATAGCTACTGTTATATATAGATACATATGTCCCTAGGTAAAGTGCATTAGAAAAGTAAAAAAAAAAAAGGTACTTTTAAATGAAAAAATAATTGCATATAAGTATCGATTTGAAGTGTATTTATGGCACTGATCAGTAGTTCCCATCTGTGGCATCCCAGGAATATCTTTTATCTGTGATAATTTAAACAGCCAAAGATCTCCAATATTTTCCATTGGTCCCTAAATAATCCGCCTACGAATTTCAATACTTCTTCAGTTTTATTAGTCAACAAGTGTGCGATTTTAGGGTAGTCATACTTAACAAATCAAAATAATAATACTTTGTTTCTCAGTATATGCCTTTCCGTTTATAAAACTATTGTTACACTCAGATTTCGCTAGAAAAGGGCGTTGAGGCGACTGACAAAGTATTTTTATACAGGTTCGCTTTACCCTGTGGTATATTGTAAAACGCGTTACACCTAATTTTTAATGAAAGTCAGAGTTTTCAATTGTGGCGGATAATAATGTATAAACGACTAACTAGGCTGAACAAGACTGACAAAGCCTTCAGTGTAAAGGCAAGTATCTAGAAAGTGATTGACTCAATTACATGTCGGCGCGGAGGGCAGTTGGAGAACTCTATTGGCTGTTTCTAGTGGTCTTAAGACTTTTCATCTATCTATTCATGAGACATGAGTAGTTTTTACATTAAAAAAAAAATGCCGCTTTCTAGCTTTGTCTTTGACCTGATATCATATGAAACAAATAATATTACATATAGTAGACCACAAACACCATATTTCCCATGGAAATTCAAGTAGGGAACGGTAATGCAGTAACTAGAAGATTTTGATAACTTTCTTTTTCCTTTTTTTTTTTTTACTGTTTAATAAATACGATCACAAATTCCCCTTGTTTAATATTTGAATGGGTATCATTTTAGTTTTCGTATTTGGGGTTACTTATATTATGCTTTGTGATTGAATTCTAGGTGTGGTTCCAGAACGCTCGCGCAAAATGGCGACGCAACAACCTTCGAAATCACGACCCATCGGCCCCGTTGGTGACTCAGCCACCGACTACTTTGCCACAGTCCCCGGGTGAGATCAGCTCATTCTCCGAAGCTTCGCCCCTATCAACCTCAAACCCTCTTGACTTCGCCGGCCCGCCACAGCAAGCGCCACAGGGAATGGTGGCCACTGTAGAGACTACCTTTCAGGAACTCTTTTAAACTGCGCGGTTTCGAGTACGGCGATCTCGACTATAAATGACTGAATGATACGCCCGAGCAGATCATCTAATACGTCCTTGGTAGCCATGTAAATTATCTTGAATCAACTTACGCCGACCGTGTTGCAACAGGAATACCTATAACAGACTAGTCCGATTCGGACGCACACGACACAACACGGAATTACACTATACTCCTATTGTAAACGTAGAAACGACGAGTTATTGTCGATAAAGTTGGATTTATGAGGGCCTACCGACAAAGGTATTCCAATCTTGTCTACACGTTTCAGTAGAAAAACAATTAATGAGGCGGTACTCTTCATTGACTGCTAGGCACCAGCTACGTAAATTAATATAATTTAACCCATACAGACGCTGAAGGGTGAATTGAACGAAATCAAATGTCGAGTCACGGTTGAAGTGAACTTACATTGGAGAGTTTTATCAAAGAAATCGTTACGCATGTTTGCGTAGAATTGGGATTGTCAACGATAGATATAAACGATAGATAATAAAACGCTAGAAATTTTCGCCCGCATATAGGGCAAGTCTATAGTCAATGATGACAATGATAAAGCACAGTTTCTGTTATTCAATATATATATCTATAACAGCCTTCCGTGTTAAGGGAACGGTGCTGTCTGAGCATTCACACTTCCACGTCTTCCATTACCCTATTTCTAGAGGAAGTCTCTAATAATTGGAAAGCTTCTATATGTCGAATTGAACTAATGATTAGTTAAGTTGAAATTATCATGTTAAGTAAACGTCGTAGTAATCATAGGAAAGCCGGTGACAAGTACAGCAGAGAGAAACGATCTTCGTTAATCAGTAGTATCGCCAGTGCCGGGCATCAACGTAGACGACTGAATAGGCCTAGAATGTGTGAACGCTTCGACGCGTATTGTATACAGGTATAAATAATATACATAGGGTAGGAAATGCAACTCAACGATCATTACTAACACAGTGTTTTTGTGGGACTAAGGCCAACTCGAACAGATGGACGATAAGAAATCCACTGTGTGAAAAGGGTGTTACCAAGAATCTAACACGCGTTGCCGGTCAAAGTCTGTATACATACAAACGGCCGAAAGACCTTGTGGTAAGGTATTCGAATTCGTAACAAGCCTTTCATGACGCAACAAATATAAGAACTTTGTGATCAACTGAAGGGCGACTAAGATTTGGGAACGACTTCATTTGGAAATATGTATATTTCATCTCAGATATGTTAAGGAAAACCTCCTTCGAGCGATCCATGAAGCGAGAATGAAGCTCCTACATAAACTAAAATTTCGGGCTCAAAACTGTACATATGAAACTGTTGACGTAGGCCAAAAGGTTGAACATGATATTTAATAGAAGCCCGCTGTTTTAAGTTAACGGAAACAGGACCACATGTGTTGTTTCAAGTTCTGTTCGAAACTGTCAGTGCTGAAACGTAAATTACTCAGTCTCAATGTTGTTTTTTTACTATAAGTATATCATCATTGTTCGAAAAAAAACACGCTTTAGGAAAACCAATAAATATTCATTATATACTTCCTCACAAAGCAAAAATCACATCAACATCGTGGATATCCGATTATAACCTGACCTTTTTCTCCCATCATCTTGCATTTATTTATTACAATAGTTAGTTATACCCAATTACAGACAGACATACGTACGCACGCGCTGAAAGATATGTGAATATAGGATTCCTATTTAAGTCTGTATATAATACTAATGCTATTAAATCTTTATTATAGGCATAGCGACATTGTCGACCTAACAAATAGCAAATTGCTTAAGTTTCGTACTAAAAAAAGTTCTTTTTGCTTCTCGCCATCGATACACTGGCTACAGTAACAGTAACCCGGACGTTCATTATCATTAACTTGTCCTAAGTTTTGTCTTTGCTATGATTATTCCGCAGCCATGGTCTACAAAGGTGAAAAACGGATACGCACTTCACTAGATATATTATTTTTCTCTAATAATATAATTATTAATGAAAGATCCACAGTTTATCTATCAAGCCAATCTAAATCAACGTTAACATTTCAGGCACTAAATTCGCTTACGGAATTCTTACATCAATATAAAATAAATCCTAATGAGTTTTTAACATACATATAGAAAACATAATGATGAAGCGAAGAGTACTTTATCTAGATACGAAATAACAGGGTGCGAGCTTCATAAATATCTTTACTGATGATGCCGAAACCGGCTGAGCTCATTCACTGTGTAAATATATTTAGAAAAATATTTTAGAACACTCGACAGTTATCAAACAAAATCATGTGCTGTCTAATACAGATGATCCTTAAATATACAAAATGGGATACAGAAAATAGAGAGGAAAAAGTAATCAGGGATAATATTATTCAAATCGACGTTCCTGTATTACCTGATGAACACAAACAACAAGACGTTCAAATTCAAAAGATCGTTTACACTGATGGGAACTGACCGAGATTCAATGGTGCAATACTTTCCAAAACTAGAACAACTTCAATAAGGCTACGGTGGGATAGAGACAAAAAAATGACTTCATGCGATTAAATGAACGTGTCAAGGAAAACTGAAAGACTGACGAAGTTGAAGCAGTGAACGTGACTGAGTGAGACGGAGCGCACGTATGAAGATTCGAGCGAGCGAACCAGCGACCAGACAAAAGGATAAAATAGAGTAATAACTGAAATGGCGGCGACAGGGGAAGAGACGAGCGCGATTTCACTATAATAAATCATTGAAATGAAACCGCATGAATTCTACTACACTTGCCATCATCAGCATCGCCATCGCCATCAAGTCCGTCACGTCTAATAGTTGTAGTCACAAGTATCAAGAAATAAAGGAAAAAGAAGAATCGCCACTTATAAATATCTTTGTCTTCGTTGTTTTCATCACAGCATCTATGTAGATCCATTTCTTCCATCTGGCGCACTTCGTATCTTTGAAATATCCTTATTTTTCCCGAATAATCGGCCAGTTTTTTATAGACGAATATTTGCGGAAATTCCCGATAGCTCTTCACTTAGCCATTAAATCAACAGAATGAACCAGCAGCCTCTCCCAAATCCCCATTTTACATAATAATTATGCCGCTGTTACCCCACTTTAGAGTTATCTATTATCTATTGTTTATTATTATTATTATTATTGATATTTTTCAGCTGGTGTGGCTATGAGGCATTCGCTATGCCGTTCCCAAGATTTACCCAGTTTTACTCATCCTGTTAATCGCTTTACCCCACTGCAGCTCTCCCCTTATGGTACCTCCTACAGTTCTTCTGCTGCCCTGAGAATTTTGATAAAATAACTGCATTGGTGTGTGATATAATCCGTCTTATTCGCTGGCCACTCCTCATATCCAGCGGCTTTAAAGTAGTTACGGACAAAAACTGTTCCCCGAGAGCAGGCCTCCGCGTTGTCAGGCGATACTGCTTTGAACCAAAGAACTTAGTGGACTGCCTGAAAGCCAACGTGACCCCGTCTCTTTTGCATCCCGATTAACTTTATTGACGTACAGTTCAGCTTCTTTGTATTCCAGCGCGAAAATCTTTGTCTAAATAGCTAAAACTTGTAAATAAAAGCTTCTGCTGCATAGAAATCCAGGGAAGTCAAACAAAGTAGGATCAGTCGCTGATCTGATGTCCATTTTACCACGACAAATCGGCTCGCTGCTTGACTCTCGTCAGATACGAATCCAGATTCCTTTTCCTCATCACAAGTTATTTGTATTTAGCGACTGAGAGGAAAAACCCTCAATATCTACTTTAACTTTTGCCCTCTCATAGGATATTGGAGTATTTTGTTTCGCTGTTGAAACTATGTTTCAGTCCTCTATATAGCATCGAACGTTTTTTTCCCCAAGACAGGATCGTTCAGCTTTAGAAGGATGGCTGTTTTAGACAGATTTAGTTCGCAGCTGTTTGCATGCTTAATATTAAATATAACTAGTAGATAAATAATAGTAACAATAAAGTAAGTAGTGAAAGTGGTAAGAAGCAATTGCTCTGCTTGTACATTACCACACCCATTCTGCATGACTTTCTATAAATATGTCTAAGCCAAAAAGCTTTTAGGTACCCCATGCCGAAGGTTGGCCCGACCCATTCCGCAACCCGCTTTAGACAGTTTTGTTGCATAATGATCATATATGATCAACGTCCTTACTACTCGCTATTGACCGTTGGAAACCATTTTTTGGTAGCATAAATACACATCTTGATTAGAAGATCCATCAGATAGTCATAGGTCGATAAAGCCTAAACGACGTTTGCACCTATATAAGCCATGATTTAATATTGTAATCTTACTTTTCGTAGCTGCGCAGAGTATCTTAGAATTGCCATGTAAAAGCGCAATGTAATGAATTCGGGGAACGTTATCTATCCAAAGGTTTCTTTTGTTAGACAAAAATGAAGCCCTTTTTATATATGAAAAAAAATGTGGCCGACTATTTAAATACGAATTTTTTTACATTCACATTATCCTTGCAGTATACTTTTCAGCTTAGGGTATGTGTCCCAACTAAGGTCAAATAATAACTGAAACCGGCCATTTCTGAGTTGAGGTGATATTTGCATCAATTCATACTACTGCAGCCTTGCAACTCTCGCATGCCACTGTGAACCATTGAACGTATTTAATGATATAGAAAAGTTATTGGATATTATAGAATTCGCTTACGGTGCATTGAAGTACATCGAATTTTGTCTTTAAATTATCGCGCGGCGCCATTCTACTATAACGAATGCGCCCTCTATAAACAAAGCAGCCAGCCAACCAAGAATAAACCGTCTGTTCAGCACATCTGAGCGAGAGAAGAACAAAAGCAGTTGATATTTTCGTCGATCTATTCGAATATTTCAAATCGTTTGTGATGGGTTGGAGCTGAAAAAAGAAACAGTTTAATACTGCTGCGGACCAAAACACACCAACTTTGGCAGTTTGAAAGTACTTGCATTATTCGACACCGCTCAAACGTGACCACTTTCATTGGCTTAGAATAAAGTCCATTGGTTATTTAATAGGGTAGTCGTAGATAGGAGTTAGAAAACAAATAGTTGGCAGTGTTCATTGAACGCTGCGTTAATGTAGATACGAATTTGTAGGAAATATCATGTACTTGTTAGATTAAAACTATCTCATAAAGGACCTTGAAAGCGCCGTAAAATTATCCGAAAAACTGAAGTCATCTGCTTTATTGTTCGCGTTCTATAATACTGTTAATCGGTGAGTAAATGAAGTTACAAGATGTATTTTATTGAATTATTGAGGCATACAAAACATCAGTCCAATTATAAAGTGTATATATGTATGAACTGCTAAGATCTGTAAAACTTCGGAAATGTTGTTAGGTTACAACAGCTTCAAATATAACCTCCAACTGGTTATATTATATTGTCTAGCAGCTAGTTTTTGTGACTGCAGCTCTCAATGATTTTTATCTTATATGAGTACTTTTAAGTGAAATTGAGTAATCATGGCAATTGCGTGTCTTGTTATATTAGGGTGTCTAAATTATAAGCACGAGCAGACGAGGGGTCAGGAAGAGTATTTCTGCTATTATTTTTGCTGCGGATTTTATCGAAATATGCGTTCTTCTGTTCTTGGCAACATCTACTTCGGCAACGAGGCTATTTGACATATTGGCGGAAAAATTAACTCGTCGCTTGCATGTAGCTTACATATTTTCTGTGTATGTTCTGTAATTAGAAAGATAACAAACAGGTAAAGAAATGTCCCGAGTTTATATATATATATATATATATATATATATATATATATATATATATATATATATAGCGTTTCACACTAGTATTTAAACTAATGCTTCCATTTGGCTTGTGGTCCGATATAATTTTTGGCATGACTATCTTATTTGCATCATGTTACCCTATGCTTAGTAAGAGAGACATGAAATCAGAACAGACTATATATATATATAAAATTCGTCGGGCTTCTGTTTTATATGCCGAAAACATGACCGATTAGGTTTACAGAGCGTGCTTTTGTAACTACCTAAAGCATCAACTGTACTTTCTTATATCGTATGTAGTTAACAGACATGGCAGCTGGAACAGATGTTTATTGTGAACTTGCAAATTGCAGACATTTTTTAAATTCAAGCACACATTGCGGGACCTACCTTGGGAAAGTTTAAAAGCTTGTTGTGCAAGCGGACCGTCTGTGCAAAAGGTGCGGCTCTACGGGGATAAAGATGTCAACCATAGAAAAAGTTAACGGGGCAATAACGGATGATGTACCAAGGGTATGTATTAGGTTTCTGTGTGTTACACTCCGTGAATCATAGATGACTGTAAATCGGGATATCATAATAGTTTTGTTATTAAGTATTTTTATTAAGGCATTCTATCACACTCGAAAATTTGTTATCGAGTACGTCCTAACTGTAGTGACTTAGAAGATGTGGTCTTATAGATCAAAGCCTAAAACTTCCGGAAATTTCCGACAAGAACTTTTATTGGAGACATTCAGTTTTACTCACAAGCTATGGTAATGATATTGGTATTTTTGTGCTCTTGTCGAAATAATTACTTTCTAATCTTTTATGTCGTAGTAGAAAATTATGCACCTAATGTGCTTTACACGCAGCTCTAGCTGTTTAGCAACCCACTTTTAGAACAATTCTCATCTACGACTTCAATGTATCTTGCACAAATTATGAGACTTTAAATTTCAAAGATCTAATCTGTTTTGTCTATGTGGGTTGTGCCGTTGTGAATATTTTTGGTGAACCTGCAGAATGACGCCGGCGAAGAAGATTTTTCCTCAATGACATGTAGTTCGCGCCAGACAGAAGAGATTGCCGCACAGCAAAAGCGCCGTCAAGAGCGGCAAAGTCGGGTTCCTTCCGAAGGATATCCGGGCCTAGCTTTCGGCAGCGGATTCTCTTCGAATACAATGATGAGATTAAGGATCATCGCTAATGAACTTCATAATATATCATCAGTTCAACTAAAACGAGCCGAAGGTAGCAAACATGTTTGCCTAATCATATCAAAACATAATTTATACATTCTATTTTTGATTCAAGAACGATGCTCACAAGACGGATATCAGATCTCACACCTTGGGCTTAATTAGTAGTACTAGTTGATGTTGATTTGACATCCATACGCACTACCTATATATATATATATATATGTATATATATATAGAGAGAGAGAGACCTATGGAATGTCTCTAAGAGTTTTCATTTTAATCATTTTTATTAATGCAAGACACTGCACCCATTGAAATCCGTGAACAACTACGATTCTGCTTCACGAAGAACTAATTACCAAATGCTGCAATTAATGTCATAGAATTTGTAGATGAGCTTCATGGGGCTTATTATTGTCCTAGTAGATGATATCAAATTATTTGTGATTATTTTTTGCATCCCGTTATAGGTGAGATGAATGCTCTGGGGAAGCGCATCGAATGGGTAGACAGCGAGCTAAAACAGGAAGAACAAGCTCTTAAAGAAGCCAACGAAGAGATCTCGGAAATATCCAAAGAGTTGAATCCACTAACCGAAGACGGACAAACTGGGCCTAACGGAGAGAGTCCAGCTTCTCAACCCGGAGATGAGCGGCTTGAGCAGATAGAGGGACTAAAATCGCGGTTGGAGCTCATCAAAGCAATGTATGGCTTGTCATCGTGATCAATCGAAGTTCTCTCCTGCATTAATCGACAGATGAAGGGATCTTGGCAGAACAGTAACACAGTTTTGTTCAAAGTAAAGCGATTGGCAAGGAAGCATGTGAAGCCATCCTCGCGAGTCAACGCCATCAACGACCGTCCAGTATAAGAGGTGTATATAGTATAAATCGTGTTCTCAAAGTCTAACATGAACTGAAGGGTGCATTGCAGGTGCTGCAGTACAATGAAGATGTGGCAGTTTGTGACTGACTCAGTTCAGGCATGATTGGAAAATGTTCACCGAATCTCGGAGAAACGTGCTAAGTAGCTCAACGATGCTTTTGACCTTAATAACCTCAATATCATTCGTTCAATTGATAGTACGGAAAGCTATCAGCCAAATAAGTGCTGACGGAATGAATGGACGCATCAGCATCAGATAAGGGCTTGTGTTCCGTCATAGTTTCATGGCATTTCTTATATAGGACCAAATCAGAGTACCTGAACCGTTCCTACGGACTCGGTTCTTAACTCCTATACCTAGAGACCTGATACTTCCATTGCAGAACCGGCGCTTGCATGAAACACATAGATACACACACGCTCAAATCATAAGGGATACACCGGAACCCGTTTTTTATTTCGATGCCAGTCTAATTGGCGACTGATCGGTTGATACGTAATTATATTTTGCATGAAAGACCCAAAAAAATCCTTAAAGAGGATGACATTCCCATTTGGCCGGAATAATCCTGCTTACAGATTATTGGCACTGGACGGGCTTCACAAAGGTTGCTGTGGGCATTGAACATGTTATCTACTTACGTAGAGCAGAACGAACGCCAGCGAATGAACAAAGACAGATATGTAAGGTTGGTCTTTATGGACATCTTTTTTTGTAGAACTTTATATTTGTGCTAATAATGGACAAGACAATCTGCCTTGAACACTACAAAATAATGACCCGTATACAGGATTATGTTTTTCTGTCCAAATCAAATCATGGACATTGCGTTGTGAATATGTAATAGGAATGTCCGTTTTGTGTGCATTTTGGGGAAGGTTTATATTATTTCGATTGTTTGTGCAATATTAGGCCAGTTGTGATCTATAATAGTTTGACATTATACTGTGATCTTAATTGTGCATTTGGAGAACGTATAAAGTTTAGGCGAAGTTAAGATAACAATAACAGCACGATGCGATTACAAGATATTTTTGTTTTATATTAAGCTGCATTTTCCCATTCTATTGGCTGTTTTTTTTTAAATCTTGTATACCGTCTCAATACGTCAGTAGCACTATTGCAGGATAGCAGAAAAAACCTAACATAAAAAACTCAAAAAAAATTAATTCAAGCAGGTTCCTAGAAGCCTACACGGCTATAATGGCATTTATTACAAATTTTATTGGCAATGGCGACGCTATTATTTACTACAACAAATCTGAATGGCCGCCTGCATAATGTCAGTATACCACACAAACCTTTGAGCAATATCTGTAACATTATTATTGCAAAAGACTACACGACAGATAGCTGGGTTACGAGTTCCGCAACAAATCCTTATACATATATCAGTGAGATCTTCCTAATGAGTTACCGTCCTATATGTTGTTTTTCAAAATATATGCATAGAGAGCACCCCACAAAAACTGTCAATGTTACCGTTGAACACCACAGAACTTGAGACTAAACCTATGTGAATAGCAGATTCTAAAATTAAGGGGAGGGCAGCTAGTATCGATCCTCTCAAATCTTTGCAGTGCAACGAAGGCTTAATTGGTTATAGCAACTGAGCGAAAATATGAGCAGCTAAGCAATCCTATACATAAAATAATAACCAACAAAGATTTGTTTAGGATTATTTTTATTAAATACTAGATAATTTGCAAAAACATTTCATTCTTAATTGTGAAATAATAGGTTTGCTTCAAGAAATGTTGATTGACTGTTTTTGAAGAAGCGTGTTTATTATCGGCTCCTTCCAACAAGTTGTATCAAATTGTATTATTAGGATTAGAAATTGTGTAGATAAACGTTTTTTGTAAAAAAATGTGTAAAACGTTTTTATTAGCTCCTTAATTGAGAGATTTCTCCTTTGAAAGAATTTTTTTTTGTTAATTCTTTACTCGTAACTTTGTGCTAGCCGGTTGTGTAGATACTGAAAAATTACGAAGCTTTCATATTAGAAGGTTTGGAAATTTTATATTGTTGTTGAAAAACTCAATCACTGAAGGGTTTATAGTGGGAACACGCATGACGTATCAGTGTCACTATAACTATCTCCTGCAGAGGATAGAACAAAACGGCGAGGGACTTCATTTTATTTAAACAGACGAAAACTTTAACTGATTTCTGTCTAGTAAGGATATAAAGCACCTTAGAGTTCGGGATAATCCAAACTATATGCGGGTACTTATAATTTGCAACTGTTCAAGACTGAAAAAGCGCATGGCACAAAAAGGTGAAAAGCAACAAAAAACTTTTCCTGTGTATAGTTGCTAACTTGTTTGCATTGTTCTATTGTATAATTCTTCTGAGTTTGTTATAGAAAAGGAGGGTAGGGTCAATATTAGGGCACTTACCCCCTACTTCAATTTATTTCGAAACCTAAAGGGTTACACGATCCTTTTGCGTCCGGGTTAGTCTTTAAGCACAATAACGTCAAAATGGCTACTAGATTATTAGATTAAGTAAAGCATTGTCTAAATTAGTTTAAATAACTCAGCGATTCTTAAGCAAACAACTGCGAATGAACAAAAGATTTTGTTTTCAATGAAATAAGAACACCATACACTATTGTTTGTTTAACAAAATGAACGGAGATAAAAATAAAATTGAAAGAACAATTTTCGTATTACTACGTATAATTATATACTATATACTTTCATTCTGCTATGCCATTTATGTAAGTTTAGTTGAGCATTCATAAATATGTTTCTGTTCAAACTCTTGGCCAAATATTGACCGCTTTTGTCAAATCGCTTTAGAATAGAAAACCCAAAAGAAGTGGTGTCAACGTTGATGGTTGACGATGGCAACCAAATGATTTTTCTGTCGAAGACAGCGTTGGATGAATGTGCTTGCGTTGTTATTAAATGAAGCTATCTTTCCCTGAATCTGTGATTATTCAATAAGAGTTTGAAACACGAAAAATAAAGTATATGGCTTTACTCATTCTAAAACATATCCTAAAAATGTTTGAAGTGCGCCTTCGTATGATCGACTATTGCTCCATTATATAAATACGAGAGTGCTATACTTCTGTTACAGTCGTATCTACGTAAAGTAGCAATAGCGACAGATGGAACGTTACAAATGAATAAGTTGCAATGAAGGAGCACCAGATTCGCTGACTATATAAAGACCAGGGGAGGCGATTGAAACGACGCATTCACGAGAACGGTAGAGAATGTAAGAGAAACCACAATAATTGTTCAAGTATATTTGACTGTATAGTTACACTGATTGACAGATAGACATTTGGAAAAGTAGTCCAATATGTGTAATATACAGATATAAGTAGATAACTATACTCTATGAAGATATAGCAAAAACAAACGACAGCAGTCTAAATCATCATTGATAACGATCTTTTGAAATACCATACCCTGTAGTAATGATAGAAATTGTAAAAGGTTTCGCCCATCTATATATGATGTCAATTAATGATAATGTATGTAAGCACGTGCAACGGTAGGGTAAGATCCGTGAACATTTGAAGAAGACATGTTCCATAGATCACGTGATCTACGCAAGATCATACAATAAACATTTTTTATTCAAATTTTACTACAAAAATTATGAAGAAAAGAAGTTGTTTCAAAATAAAAAATATTTTTGCGAAAAAATCAGTATATACTCGTTTAATAATCACATATTGTATTATGTGCTACGCTCATTTACAGAATGCCAACTCTAACATTGGGTCGTCGAAAAAGTATTAACCGCTTTAAGCCAAAATTACAGCGATTTTTCTTTTAGTTTGAAATATTGTTACGAAGGTAAATATGCATTATTTTGATCAATGATTTTCTCTTATTTCTGCAGAACTTCTGTGGTTTATGGGGAAAAGTTGTAACAAGTGATTCTTGCATCCTACCATTGAGACTAAATTCGCATTATTGAAGTTATACAAATATCGAAACGGATGATGCTCTAATGGCGCAAAATCCAGGATACACGGGGGATGCATTGAAATTTTCCATCCAATTGCTTTCTCAATTTTTGCTGAATGGCCAAATGTGTATGTGGTCGGACATTGTCATGGTAGAAGACAACGCCTTTCCCGTTCACTAGTTCTGATCGATTTTTTTCGACAGCTTGTTGTCATTTCGTTGGTTTTTAGAGGCCCAGATTAACTATTTGACCAGGTGGCGGCAACTTATATTACACGATTCTTTTCCAATTCCACTAAACACATAGCATCACCTTTTTTAAGGAAAGTCTGGCCTTTACGACAGGTTGTAGAGCACATACATTTTTCTGTTAATCAAACGCTTTAGGTCGATCAAACGCTTTAAACATAATTTGTTGTTGTTTTAAAATGTTGCGTTTCTGTAGAAAATTGCAGATGGAAATACAATTGCGTAAAATCTGTTGCCACAATTCGTGTGCCACTCAAACATCGAGCTTTTCTGGTATCCAGGTTTCTTAAATTGCTTGGAACTGTTTGATAATGAATGCTTAATGAACTGGCGATACCATTGCCACGTATTGGTCTCGCCCAGCTTTCGCAATAATTTTGCCAGCTTTTTACATAATTTGTACGTAATAATGACGAGGAGCATCTTTTACATCAATATATATAGGACGAAAGCGACAGAACTATTTTATACTGTTTCTTCTAATAACCTATGTTTATTACAAACAGTATAATTTTTTATAGGTCCGGACAACATCTGTACCTCTATCGCAATGGAATTGTAAAATATACCTGATTTTTGCAAAAATCTTACCCATATTCAAGGCTCTATATATATCTTAAGTCTCAACAAAGGCGTTTCGAGAGTTCAATATATTTTGTTACTACTAAAGCTTTCAAATAACGCCGATACCGCCCTGACGCAACTCATATTACCTGCGGTATGTAGCCTTCCAGCCATCTAGCTAGCAAAACAGTCAATATTTCTTCGTTAACCCAATATATAAAGATGTGTGAAAAGAAACTTTAAATTTGTTTTACCTTAGTTAAGTGAAATTCTGTTCTACTAAAAGAAAGTGCTCTGTATTTTTAACTTAGTTCTAATATAGTCTAAATCTGTTATCACGTTGTTTTCGATGCGTATGAAGGAAGTATTTTGATCTCTCAACCGACACCCTTGGTTCTGCGGATCTGCTCATATAAACACTCGACCTAATGCCATGTCAGCCAGAGGAAGAAAAGCAAAAAAAAAATGCACAATATTGATAAATTTATATAAAACATTTGTTCACTCAATATCTACTAGTTTCATAATAAATGACGTTTTACCTAAAAAAGCGACATTTTACTCTTCTATTCTAAAAACAAGGTAATCTTTGTATTCGCCGTCACCCTCCACAGGCTTCCCTTATTTTTCAAAAAATGTATTCCTTCTCATCAGAGCATCTTGAATCAACGTTGAAAAACTCATGCAGTCAACTCCCGAAACCATCAAATTTACTGTTACGAATTAAATTGGTAATTAATACGAAATGGTGGCAGCCCGTTGACGTGAAGTTTCAAGAATAAGTTGAATGTAAAATAACGTACCATTCAAGCTTTTGCAGGAAGGCTTCAACGATTTTTACCATTTTTGCCGGGTATTGCCGTGAAAAATGACGACCTTATTTTGTTTATTCGGTTTTCGGTGTTAAATAATGTCGATCAATCGATACAACTAAACCCTACACAGATCCCGATTCCTTTCAAGAGTTTGCTGATCTATAGAATCATTCCGATATCACCAGACGCAGATTGGTTTTTTGTCGGATGAGGGTCTCGCTTAGCTCTTAGTTCAGGTGTCCCAAATGGATGGAACTACCCATTTTTCAATACTTCCTTCAGTGTGGCAACATCGTTTCTCGTCATCCGTAATAATTCTGTGAAGAAACCTGTAACTGTGGGTATGTGCTATCCGGCGCCGAATGAGATATTAAAAGACAATGAGAAACCGTGTTAGCTTGTGCTTTTTACTCAGTTTATGGAGCACGAAAGTCCCTATTTTTTATTACATTCTATGGATTTAAAATACCTACCAAGGAACGCATAACTGCGGTTCATCTTTTTGCCCGTTCATACCCTATTCGTCAACCGCCTTTCTTCAAGAATGTCTCACCGGCCCTCATCAACCTCGGATGGCTGACTGGAGTGATCTGCATCCTTTAGTTCTAAGATGCTATTACTAAATTTCGCAAATTACCTTTGAACTGTCTTTTTAAGCGGCAACTCTGCATTATACATGGCACAATTATCCCAAGCTGTTTCAGTAGCTCTTGGACCTCGCCAAATAGTAGAAATAGAATGAGTGTCGAAAATGTACTTGCTCTACCATGAACGTACATATTTGGGGTCTGAACTCGGCAAAATAGTAAAGTTAAAACCTTAATTACTTTTGTATTAATTGAGTACTCGCTAAGGCGCTGACTATTAAAACCATTTTTTTCTTCAGTTGATAACCCGCGGAAACTGAGAAAAACTGGAAACTGAGAAAAACTGATCCCATCTATATCAAGCTGGCACACCCAATGAACGCTAATTTTGATTAGTATTATCGATAACCTTATTGGTTACACATGGTACAGCAGAAGAGCATTAAAATGTTTAGTCACTATTCCAGTTTTCATTATACCTATAGATGAGCCGGCAAAAACCTTAACTAGGACCCATACATGGCACGTCTGGAGCGATCCACATTTATGTCGTGTCATATCCGCTGTTTTTCACATGCACGACAATGTCTTTGACGAATTTCAATTTCCAGAAGGTCATTTCAAGATCATTATGTTTGTATTCGTTTCTAATAAAATGGCTGAATATTTACGAATACAGCTTGTTTTCACTAAAGATATTTCTGCACCTAAACTAGTGAGGTCTTTGGCTAAATGCGTCATAGGCTATTATTATGCTAAATAGGCTAATTACTTGAGTTGAGTCAGGTTTTCCAGAAATTGCCATAGTAACTCAGAATGTTGCACCTGGGAATTTTTAATGGTCCTCTGAAGACGCCGACAAACTGCATTAGCCACCAAGAGCTTCGAATGTGCACTCCATGCCACGACGCATCCTTCTCGAACATGTACGTATACACCATGTTCTACAATGCAAAGCTAGCAATGTATAAACTACGTAAGTAAAAAGTCGTCCGATTCTATTCAAACTCACTCTTTAGCCAGCCTGTCATTCTACGCCACCGACTTTATAAAAAGAAAAGGTAGGACAGAACGTCTTTCCTTTCCCCTCTTTTCTTTTATATGTCGATAGATAAATGTATTTGCATGTAATTATAGCTTTATATATTGATATTGATATATTCTTTTCATATTTTTTCTCTTCAGCTCAGTCTTCTTCTATTCAAGCTAGAATCAACCCAACTTAAACTTACTTAAACTAAAATCTTAAACTTACTATAGATATTATTTGTTCCGTTTTTCCGGTGGCGACTTGTTTTTCGTCAGCGACTTCTTTAGGTTTTTCATAGTTGCGCATTGTTTTCGTTTTTTTTTTTTTGATATTGGCTAGTCGTCCAAAGAGTTCCGCTTTATTAATTTTTCATAGTGCATCCGGTCGTACATCCTTCGCAATCGCATTATAAATCGTGTGTCTGCAGTTACTGTCACTGTTGTGGATGTGTACCGTTGTGTGTACTAATCGCCTGTCGTCGTGGTGATAATAGCGGTACAAATTCCGGCTGTGTTCCACTTAAAGCTGTTCAACAACCGATAGAGTATGCCACGAATTCGTTTGATTGCCAATACGACAACGCGTTGGTTATAACGATTCACCGAAAACACAATGCCATAATACTTTTAGTTTAATAGAAATTCAAATCTCACCTCTTTGCCAAGTTGTCGACTCCAATATATGTTTTTAAGGTTACTTGATTATGGTACATTCCGCAGTGAAATGCATTTTCCATGTTATTCGTAGTTTCTGTTTACAGGGGATTAAACCAATAGACATGATAAGTGCTAATTTAATGGACACTGTTAATAGCCTTTAATTACGAGGTATAAGAAATATAATTGGACACATTCATATCTTTGTGGTGTCAATCAGCTTTACCTCTTCCACGCCAGTTTACTGGTCCTTGCCACGCTTCATTCCATCCACGTACACATAACTGTTATAATAATAATAATAGTAAAGATAATAATCATGATTATTATTATTATTTTATCGTTTTCATTCGCCCAACTCATGGGTTGTTTTTCATCTCCTCTTTAACACAATTAGGTACCCCTTACGTTGCTAGCTTACAAATTTATTTTGTATGCTTTTTCATCACACCTCAGTTGTCAACAACGGAAATGTTACAATGTCGCAATGTTATACATTATAGGTATGATAGCATAGCTCTTTTTATTTATCGTTTTATCCGTGTAATAGTAGTAATAATAATAATATTAATAATAATGTCGAGTCGTCCAAACACGTGCATCCGTCCGTCCATTTGTAGTAATAGGCTATTTTTTTCGTCCGCTGTCTATTTAGCTGCGACAGATAGACCAACGGGCGCGCCATTGGCGAGTTAGCGTTACTGCCGTGCAGTTCAAGATCGGCAGCTCGACAACTACAGTGTTTACACATTCAATCGATATTTAGCGCCAACACAAGCTTCTGGTCCGACTTACTAACTTCGTTGCTTGCCAAGTCAGCAGGCTTGAACCTAGTTTTGAACAAGACCATCCCTTCGTCACTGTACTGACCAGTCAGTCCGTCGTATCATCCATCATTGAGGCCCACCGGGAATTCATGACACGTAGAACTAACTCAATTTGTATGGCGTCATCCACAATTTAAGCAATACATTATCATTATCACTATAACAATCGCAGTAGTGGATGAAGTAAAAATAATAATCATAGTAATGAAACTACTTCCATTCTTACGCCTCATAGGCCTCTCAGTCTTTAATAGAAGGTGTCTCGATAATTTTGTCTTGGTACTCGTTCATTCGTTATTAGTATGAAAAAAGAGCCTTTGTTGTACCTAGCTGCTGTACCTGGCCTTTGAAAAGTATCGAAGGCAACAGCTGTACAGGTTCTTCTGGTGTTTTCACCACGTACATGCGCTGTGTGCAGCCAGACATTTTTCACCGATCTTAGTATACATTGAAGCGTAACTGAATGAAGAATCATCTTACGGGCCCCAGGTAAATGTCGTTTCAGATTCTGTGTCCCATTTTACATTACCCGCTGACCCCCATTACGAAAGAGGTTTTGACAGCTTTTAGATATAGACGACTGTAGTTACTCAGTTGAACTTGTATTTCGTACCGCGACAAAAAACGTACGACGTTAATATTATTGACTTACAAATACTATTTCTATCTCACCTCGATAATCAGCTAACACAGACTCATGACACGGCTGTGTTCAACCGAGGGCACAAACAGCCTTTCGCTTCGGAAAGCCGAAGGCCTGCTGTACTGACTTCTATTCAACAACACATACACAGCGCTAGGTACAACAAACGCCATGGCCTTGCCTTCATTATATATGAACGTTTTTCTTTATATATATATATATATATATATATATATATATATATATATATATATATATATATATATATACGCACGTACTGTCTCCTCGCCTAATGCCGCCACGACCTCGCCTCCTCATCATCGTCGTCGTCTTCGAGAAGACCCCTATGATCTACATCGTTCGCGCAGCTGTTATTGTCAATCAACTTGTGCGCCGCGTTTGCCGACAACCCTAATACAGAATCGTCCCCTGCTGCACCTGTTGACCTTTTTCCTATTTCTGAAGTGTTTGAAGCCTGACTAGTCGTAATATTAGTAGTAGTAGTAGTATTAGTAGTAGTAGTAGTAGTAGGTGATATTGTTGTAACTGTGCTGCTCGTTGAGTCTCCAGCGGGTCCGACAGCGTTTTCTTCTGCTTTTTCATTAACGGCTACTGTGCTGTTATTTTTTTCTTTGTTATTCGAGTCCCTTAGCTCTGCTTCTTTTTGAACCGTCGGCGTTTTTGAGGGCTGAACTTGTTGGTGCTGGTCCTCTTTCCAGTGCCACTTAAGCGGTACACCTCGAAACAAGCCACCTCGATTAACGGCAAACTCAGCATCTTTTCGTGTTGCAAACGTGAACAAAAAATGTTTGGCATCGCCTTCACCCTCTTCGGCAACATTTGCGACCTTACCGTATCGCGAAAGGTGTTTACACAAACCGGCCATTTCTAGCTGGCCAGAAAGTACGGCAACCACGCGCGGCCGTTTATCGATTGCTAACTGACCGTGAACCTTACTTGAGGCAGCCTTCATTGAACCGGCAGCAGCCTGACCGGCAAGTAATCCCTTGTGACCGAGACGGCCATGCCAAACGTTAGCTGAGTCGAGAAGGCCTAACGTTTTTGCCTTATGACGAAGCGCTATCAGTTTCTGCTCAAGTTGTCTTGCTTCTGCAGGATTTTGCAGCTGCTTCGCTTGCATTTGGCGGTAGAGATCAAGCTCAGCATCGAGAAGCTGTTTCTCACTTGTTATTTCTGGCAACAATGCGCCAGGGGCCTGCTTTGGCCGTAAGCTGTCAATCATCCTTGCTAAATTTGCCATCAAGGTTTTGATCTGCTCCTTCTCTGCTTCTGAAGTTGACTTCTCGTAACGTTCACGCAAACGCTTATCCTCCTCGACATACTTTTCGTATAAACGGCTCTTTTGAGAAATCAACTGGGCCGATTTATCGGCTTGATTATCTTTTTTGAGTGCCTCGGGGTTTGGTTTCGGTATCTTTTTTGGCGGGGCACTTACGTCATCTTGGCCACCCAAGCCACCATGCTGCTGCTGCTGCTGCTGCTGTGGCAGCCGTTTCTTAATCTGTACTCCTCCTGCACTACTATTGTTGTTATTATGATTAATATTACCGTGAGTTGGTTGATTTCCGCCCAGCACGGTTACTCCTCCTGAAGCAATATTGTTACTGTTCGTGTTGTGCCAGAAAAGCTTAATAAACCGATTGCCTAAGACGGCATCCGTCGACCGATATGCGCCATTAGCTTCATGGTGTTTTGAAAAACTAATCAAAGCACTCTCTGGGCAGCCTTGGAAGTTAACTTGAATATTAGTAATGGTGCCGTACTTTGAGAAATACTCATTCAAAGTAGCTATATTGTTTTGCGCGCGCGGAATTCTACGAACCTCCAGTTCTGTTCCGCGTTGGAATCGCGTGGGGGGCGGACCCCGAGGATTGTTGCTGTGGTTTTCATGTTGTGGAGCCACAACAGTCCGCTGAACCTGCGTCAAGTTGTTGCGAGGAATCGTGACCAATTCCCGCTGCACGTGCGGTGGCCCAACGCCACCTCCGCTTGGAGGCGCTGGTGGGCCAGGCTGGTAGTTCCAACTACCGCTTACTGTTCCACCACCTGTGCCGTACGGCCCAGCACCAGTAAGGTGATGGTGACCCGGCGGATGAGAATGTACAGAGTGGTCATGGGGCCCGTGTGGTTGCTGATGGGTATGCCGCATATCGGGTTCAAGCGGATTGTATTCTGGAACCACTGGTGCTATCGGTACGCCATTGCCGCCACGCATCGTCGGATTGTATGGTGGAGGAACAGTAGAGTCTAGGATGACAGGGTCGGTCCCGTGGTCGAAAGGGCAAAGCTCACCCTGTATACAGAAGCCCTGTTCGTCGAAATCACGACACCGTTCGCGTCGGCTGCCGAGATGCCCTGTGGCAGCCAGCGAGCTATTGTGTTTACGGGTTAGTGTGTCGCGCAGGTCGCGAAGTGGAGGTGGCGCAGGTGAACGAGATCGCGAACGCGAATGCCTCGCGGTAATTCGCCCTCGGTGCCGTCCCGGTGGTGGACTGCGGGAACGCCCCTTACGACCTCCGCGATATCGTTCGCGAGAGCGTGACCTGGAACGGCTCCTGAAATCATATAAATTTGAAAGACAATTACATAACAAATATTCGTCCCGCATAGTAACAGTACAAAGGCACAAAGATTAGTTTGGTATTTACTATTTTATTCTAGACAACTTGTAAGAATCGTCGTATGCATAAAAGTAAAAATTCTGTACCAATCTCTTAACAAGACAATAGTTGGAATAGATTTGAACACCTTATTCCAGCAAGAGTAAATTTTGTTGAGCAATCATCTCACAGACGCTAGCGCAGATGTGGCGCAGAGAGGAACAGTATCATTCGTAAGGGAGCAAAACCTATACCACACAATTGCCACTGCATGAAATGTAGATTGTATAGATCTATATAGATCTAGATGAAAAGTCTTGTAGATCGAGGTCTTAAGCTTGAAGTTGTTTTAGAATTTTCGGAAAACTTACCTAAATCGCCTTGGAGGTGGAGAGCGCGACCTTCTCAGTGGTGATCTCGAACGTCTTCTTTGACTAGGCGCCACGTGAGGGCTCCTGCTTCGTTCTTCATCTTTACTCCGTTCACGACTTCTACTTCGGCTCCGGTCGCGAAGAGCCCCCGCCTTTTCTTCTCTTTCCTTGTCTTTGTTGGCCATTGATACGATCATCGGGTCAGGCTTTTTGTCAACAATGAACGCAAGACCTTCCGCTCCAGCACTCTGTTGGGCCGAATCAATAATGGGCAACTTTAATAGAAATAACTAAACAGTACTACAGCAAAATAAGGGACTATCATGTGCGCTAGAAGGTATGCATTCTTAAGATAAATCATGCCAAGTATAAAGGAATTTCACTTTTATATAAGACCGGCTTACTTTGTCGGATTGTTCGTCGCTTTTCTTTTTGCCCCGGTCTCCAGCGCCTCTACTACCGTAAGGTTCGAGGTAAGCCTTTGACTCCAAACAGTCGAAAAGTTCATTAACAAACTTTTGCGTATTATCGTTGAAAAAAACCTACGAAATGGGATTTATACGTGAGCGAGAGAATTTTGTTAGCTGTAAGACTATATATTTTGCAGTTGCGTGCAACAAATCTGTAATCACTGCGAAGGCTATGTTACCCAAGAACCCTAAGCAACTACATCCAACCTGTTTGCAAAAAAGAATTTACGTAAAGGAAAAGAAACATTTTTCTGACAAATGCACGAACAATTCCATTGTACACATTACGCATAAAGGACAAATATTAATATAACTGTTCTATAGCAGGCGTAAATATATTTCTATTTTAAGAAGTAATACAGAATTACATGGTATTATGTAATATCTTATTTATAAATGTCATTATCATGTTCAAATGTATGTGGTTTTCCAAAACGATAATTTCTAATTACCGCGCTAGATGAATACTGATACGGAGTATATATCAAAAGCGTAGACTGTACGTTATATTACTACAAACCTTAAGCTGTTCGAGACAGTCACTACGAAGTTCCTCTGTGCTCCGATCCTTCTTCACCAGTGCCACAACGTACTTCATGAGGCTCTCGCAATCCGAGCCCCAACCATACGCATCGAGAAGACAGCTTCGGAGCCAGGCCTTTAACTGATCCAGTGACTCGGCGGTCAAGCCTAGGCCACTGCCCACCATCTACAGTTTTGGGGCGCAGCCAAAATAGTGTTTTCAATTAATTAAACAAGCCATTATTTGCCGCATTAAGAAACTAATATTTAAATTTCTCGAAATTAAACGAAAGACTTTTTGAGTATAATTATATTTGCATAAACTAAATTTAATAACCCTTGTCATATATTATGTTCGTGCTAGCACCTTGAAGCTTAGGATTAGTGCTAAATTCGTTAAAAGCAACTATATGTACTACCCGGGAGAGTTATAATCGAAAAAAATTACTTACATGGTGGTTTCAAAGGCATTTTTCCTATAATAAAATAGAACAACGATACATTTGCAAAGTATAGAGACGAGATTTATGATTTTTTTGTTATTTCTTCATCTATCCAAGAGCAATTAAGACAGCAGTATTCTGATGGCGCTACCGTGTTGTGTCACCTCAGTAGATGTCCCATTCAATTGCCTCTTACATATTCCAACCCTCATTGAACAATGACCCATATATGAAACGTATCTCATAATTCCGCTTTTCATTGCAGAATAGGCCGCAAGAACTTTCGATAGTCTTCTATAAAAATGTAAAATTTACTAATGAAACAATAACTGATCAAAAGTACAGAATATTTGATTGATTAAAAATAATTATTTTGAATAACCGATATGCAAATCGAAAAGCAACACAGCTTTCGCTGTTTCAGTTAGCACGCGCCGCCTTCGAAAAGGTTTTATGCAAGCTGAGTCTGATAACAGACAAAATTAATAAATCGTAGGCTTTTGCTGGACATAATTAGGTCGAAACATCCTTCCGTAGAGCAGGAGAAATGCGCAGGTTTTTGTAATCGTATTTTATTTTAACAAGTTGGATATCATAAACTGTTTGATGCCAATAGAGGGTCGATTACAAAGATATAGAATGTTAATAGGTGACTCAACTTCCGCGTTGTCTTTACTTTAGCACATATCTGCATTTTTTACGAGTTTTCACCAGAGTAACTGTAATTATACTCCATTGCAAGCTTAACCTAAATATGCCTGTCTAAAACAAAAGCATCTCAGAAAAACCAGTGTTTGTATCAGTACCGTATCTTACAACACAAAATTATTATTATTATTCTTTAAATATTTTAAATTATAAAACAAAAGTTGCTTAAATATCAGAATGCTCAAAGTATTGTTTCCATCTGTATGTCTGTCTGCGTGCGTGTGTATCAAGGCAAATTTTCCAAGCAACTAATTTTAACGGTGCAGAATAACAAGTAATTCATTATTTAGAGGATCGAAAAACTTAGTAACCATTTGATCATTTGTACTTCGCGATGATAAAGCGCTTCATATCTTAGATACAACAAATGTACCCGTTCTAATGTTTTCATATATTTTGCTGATCCAACAACAATAACTATGGCTAAGTAAAGCTCTCAGTATTTTTATTATTATAGTATAAGTTATTATAGTATAAGAATCATATTATAGTATAAGAATAGCCCCAAAGATATATCTTTTTGTTACTCGCGAATCTCTATCCATCACCCATTCAAATTACTTATAGCTAGATCACGTAACATTTGACTAAAATGTAATGCGTACATAATTTCTATATCACTTAAGCTGCCTGAACGATATAATCAGTACAATTTACTTTTGAATAACCACTCTCCACTTTGTACCAATTCTGATTTAGGTCATACCATTGATTGGTGCAAATCAATCATGCAATTCCTAGCACTTCGTAAAATTTCATAAAAAAAGAACAGGAGTTAGTCAAATATCGTCAAAAAACTTTACTTTTTTTTCAGCAGGAAATCTGCCCGAAAAGATACTATCACACATGCGAGGGGCAAAGTGCTGTTATAATTATATATGTCGCTATTGTCTAGATTTTTGAACACGAATTGTTTGGGAATATATAAGCCACAGCATAAAACGATGCTGGGCGGTGCATAAACGATTCAGAAATGTCGACCTTATTATAAACGTAATTATGACCATCTGGTATGTTTCTGTCTCTGCGTGAGGTATTTGCAAATGGGCAACATGATCAACTACTGTTATTACTACCTGAAACGACCTTACAAACTCCTTTATGACCAATTACCCTGATTGATTGCGTCGGCCGTCCCGTAGGTAAACAGTGATGATTTTATAATAAGTTGTTGTTGTTGCTGCTGCTGCTACTGTTGTTGTTGTTGTTGTCGTCGTCACCGTTTCTAAACACAAGAGATTTGGTCCAACTGCCGCAAAATTACGAGGATCAATCCGATATGATGCTTAAATGTATGTATATATAAGGATTCAACGGAAGGTGTCGACCTCAACACCCCACGATGAGGGAGTTAGCTCAACTGGGAATTCGTCCGAATAGCTACTTCACGTCCTGTGGCTACAATTTTAATCGTAAACGCAGTGGTTACGAGAACTTCGTGTGAGCAATGATGGCTTCCGAGACGAAAAAGTAAACGAGCACAAGTCAGACGGTAGCTCCGGTCCTGCCCTGATAGTGATGATGATGATGCTGTTATTATCTGTGCCGGGCAGCGGACGAACGGTTGGTGTGCGTTGTCGTATATTCCAGCAGAATAACAGCGATTTCAAGTTACGCTCAATCAATTTTATGCCACATCCTGACAGTGCAGGCGCCCTGAACAGACATTTCTTATGCCATTTGATCTTCTAATTCTTAAGCCACCATGAATGAACACTTGGTCTATACATTAACAAGCACAAGGGTTGATAGCCGCAATGCGTTTGATATAGTAAGAACCAACCAGCAAATATTATTCCCACCTTCGTCCAGATAGAAACCACAGGCCAGACTACACGCACTACCAAACAATATGCTGGTAATAGCAGCCGTAAGCAGTTGTATCTAACAAGACGACGACGACGATGACGACCACGAACGTAGCGCCAATACTACCATCAACAACAACAACAACAATATTACATACACCAACATTGGCACCCGTAATTCATTCATTCGTTTCTCCATTCGTCAAGTGCAAGCAGCCGCCGCGTAGCAGAATAACGAGCGGTGAACACAGCTTAGGCTTGTGATTCATGATGACAGAGCGCAGCTGCATTTTGAGTGCGGGCGGAACAACATGATGGAGGCAATTCAAGCGATATAAATTGATGCATTTCTTTTTGTTATTAGCTAAGTATATCAAATGGTTTCATTGGCTTATGAGGAGGTATTCAAGGCTAAACAAGCACTCATCTATGTATTTGCTGTCTCACCCCTAGTCAATATTTGGTCGGAGAACCAAGTACAGCCATTGTACTTCTTCTTTGTAAAATTATTCATCTGTCCAATGTAGTTCTCCTCGAATGCTGGAAAACAAGTTTTAATAGGTTCGTTGTGAGGGGCAAAGGGAAGCGGCCACGTACCAGGATTTCATCCTGAAGTGCCGTTGGTTGGGGAACGACGATGTGGATGTTACTTTACGCAGGGCGCACGTGAGAGATCGTGGTGATTCTTACGTAACCGTCATTTTCAAGTTGTAAGGGCAAAGCTAATATCTGTCTTGTTTCTTTTAAGTTTCTCTCTCGTTGTGTTTCTTGCCACATCCTCAGGACAAATCCTTAAAAACATCTCTGTAATGACCAATAAATGTATCAAGTGCGCTACCTTTTCAAGGAATTTTTGTTTGATATTTTATTGGTTAGTTATAAAATTCGTCTTTCCTATACCTTATCAAGGTCCATTAAAACATGCAGCTTTATTCCTTTGCCATTTAACATGTAGAGTTTTGTAGTGAAAGGTTTGCATACCTGATTTCGCCTTCTTGGAAAACATTGGGAACTGTCTGAGGATTGGAAGGTCAATGTATACTGAAATGTATAAAGCTTTATTCATATATGAACATCTTACGAATCAATACGGAACATTTTTGCTATGATCTTCTGTACACGTTTGAATTTTTTTCCCTATGCTTCGAATGGGACCCTAATAGAAAGGGTACGTTTACCCACACAGAACTTACCGTCTGCTTTTGTCTCGGCATATAAATAACATTCTCGGTAATGCACTATAGCACCACCAACTATAGCAAAAGCTAGAGAAAGATCGGTTCATACAGAAGACGTTATTTGTTGAGGTACCTGGTGTACATTAAGCGGTCGATCCATTTTTAATTGCGGACACATAAAAAATTGGTTTGACCGCTTAATCATAAATGTTTTTAATTACTAAATAACAACGAATGTAAACGTAATGTACGAAATATGTAACGATTGTTATATTTAAAAAAAATTGAATTGTTTAGTGCTGCTTTAATGAAAGACGTAGGAAACCTTTTTCATGGTTGGTTCATTCGTAATTCATGGTTTGTCTTGATACACAGCTGTTACCTTCTTTGGTTACAACCAGCTTCAAACCCGTCGAATTCAGAAAAATTCAACTACATCGCCCAAAGTGAACGACACGCCGTTTGCATCAAAAATAACAGGCTAAAGAAAGAAATCCGTATTCACACAATGGGGTTGTATATATATATGTATATATATATGTCGGTTTTAGGTGTTAATCTGGATCAGTTATCTGGATTGTTTTGGATATTGGATTGTTTAAAAATTCATTTTATAAAAGTAATTCAGATTGTTTTATATAGTTGTAATATTTTCAACCTGCTTGTATAAATATAGTACGCAAGCAGACTCGGCAGTCATTGTGTGCAAAGAATACTTCAGGTTCACTCAGTAATTAGTGTTGAGTAACAATCTCTGACTACGGTAGGATTAATAATTACCATAATTTTGTCGTGTTTTGAATTTGTTGATGGCTTGGCAAAAAACGTTTCTTACTGTTGTTAGCATTGTAACTTTAAACATTATTTATCAAGGATATGATATGCATTCTTTTTGTTACTTTGTCGTCTGGTCATTCAGTTCGACTGTCGCAGGGAGCCGAAACCCGAAACTAGATGACATCCTATATCCAATCCAACTATATGCTGTTACAGCTTATATTTGCCATTGAGCTTAACATTGCCATTATTATATAAGATTTGCCAGAACACGGAAGTATGTATATAATAATCTGGAATAATTACATCAGTTTTATCAGGACACATGTTGTCGCATGTTCTTTAAAACGCATATTCTCTTCGAGCTTCCGAAAGATTTTTAACTGTGGGTGGCGCAATATTAGCATGATTAGACCTGCCAGAGCCTCGCCCAAAAAAATAACAATATCGATCTTTTGTGCGTTTTGAAATTAAAAAAAATATGTTATTTGCTATTGTTATTTCTCAAATTATTTTCGCTTCCGTTTATGGGAGGCGAAGCGTGCCTGTGGACATGTTCGACTCCACACCAAATCTTAATCAGTCAACGAGAACAATTGACAACTGCAAGCAGTTGCGTGGAGGCATAATACCAGTGTTAAAAACGTTGTTTTTATTCAATTTGAGACTCAGTAGATTTAAGATGGAGACTAGAGATACACTAGAAATACGTTGTTGTCTAGGTTTGAACCCACAGAGAGACATGGGACGCTTACATTTCTTCTGAATGTTTGAGATTATGAAGGTGGCAACCGGCGTGATGTTTAGTTTGAACAGCTTGATAACAGTCTCATGTGACACAACATCAACAGTTATCATGTGGCGGTAGACTTCTAATAATCTCATCGTCCACGGCAGGGTTACGGAGAGTGTCTTTAAAACTATGTAATATACACCGTTTGTTTTCGTGTCTGCTATAGTAAGTCTACACTTTTCTTATTCATTACTCTGTTGTCTTAATTTGTACTTTGATTGAAATCCGATATACCTTATTTCCCTTTTTAATTTTCAGGTACAGCCACGTTTACTGCCTAAACACAAATCGTTACACACCGTTATTACCTTCAATCAATGACAGTTCTACCTATTTCATATTTATATCTATTTTATATTTATATTATTAAATATATCGAACACAGACGGGCAGCCATCGCCCATGCATGCATTGTCTTATTACATGCATTTCTCAAATCTTCGCGCGCCTCCGCTGTATTCTGGCTTGAGCGCCACACCGGCTTTTTTATGACCTTTATACTACAACAAAGGCTTGCTTTTGCACAGTTACTTCCATAGCACACGTAGGAAGCGCACACAATCATTTGAATTGATTGGAATATCAACTATCTCTAGGGAGCCACGATACATGCACTGCTATCTGAAAACATTGACAATAACATATTCCGAGCGAACGACGTCCGAGATCATTCGGTTAGAGTTTATCGAGGGGGAGGTGAATAGTGTCAGAGACACTATCGATACACTCGCCATAATTCGACAGCCGGTAGTCACTCTGCTGCGCCACTAACACGAAGTAGTACTTCAGGAATACGAAACATTAAAAGACGCACGCTAACCTCGACCCAGAATACTCGACCAATGAGCGGTCAGCGAAAAAAAACAGCTGAACTACAAAAACGCGGAAGCTGAATTATCTTTGGTATGTGCGAGTGAGCGCAAGCCCAACGAAGCCTGCGGTTCGATTTTTCCCCTTCTGGCATTTGTGTTGACATGTCCGCCCGTTAAGCTCGAAAAAACGTGGCGGTTTAGGTTGAAATGTGAGCGTAAATACGCTACTGGCCGCGTTGGGAGCCAGCCCGAATCGTTGGGAGCCGAAATTATGTTTATCAGACGAAATACCGGACGCAAAACAGCACATGTAGACAGTCAGACTCATCAGCCGATCGAATCGTCGTCGTGGGTCGGGTCGGCTGCTATTGGTGATGCTGTTCCTGCTGTTGGCATATGTTTTGATCTAGATGCCAATAACTTACTTCTCTGCGCGTCTGGCGTGGGCCTCGCGGTGACACGCGGGCGTACATAGGCAGCCGGACATAGGACACTCTACCAGCAGCATGAACCGGCCAAGTTGACCGGCAGAAAACTAATTTGTGTAGGGGTTGTATGATGGCGGAGAAAGTGTCCTAAAAAATACGTGTGAAGAAGTCGAGTACGGAGAGAACGGGCAAATCCCGCTGTTCCTATTGAGAGCGGCAGCAGCTGCTGCTGCTGCTGGTAGTTGTTTGGCTTGGTTGGGCGGCGACGGCAGTGCTGTGTTGTCGGTAAAACGGACGGACGGACAGACAGACAAGTGGATGTCCATCCGCTTCGATGGTGCTATTGCTGTTAGGAATTGCGCTCTCACCCTCTGCGGTGGCTGCCGCTGCTGCTGTTGTTTTGTGCTGGTGATAGCTTTGCTATTGTTTTTGTTAGTGAATGTGACGGTGCAATGGCTGAGTGAGTGGCCGATTGACGACAACGATACGACAGGTAGACCAAGAAACGATGTGAGCTAGTCCCTGAACTACGATTGCTGCTGCTGCTGCTGCTGCGGCCGCCGCCGCCGCCGCTGCTGCTGCTGCTGCCGCGGCCGCCGCCGCCGTCGCTGCTGCTGCTGCTGCAGTGGTCTCTATCATCCGATAATATGTATAGCTCCAGAAACACTACTGCTATGGTTAGAATCGCTAATGGCTACACCGAGAACAGTGAAACAACAAGGTGCCAATTCCGCTAGTACTAGCATTACTATTGAGTAAGTGATCGCCTATGGCAGTTGCCTAACTGTGCTTCTGTTTGTTTATGCTGCGTCTTCTCCGATCGCCACCCGCCCGTCAGACCGACCGCCCGCGTGTCTGTTTCCCTGTCGCCACCGCCATCGGATCGGGCGTAGGTTCCCCCTTTTCCTTGCCGCCCTTGCTATGGCAGGGTAACTGTTTGCAACTAACGACGATAACGGCCGGACAAAAAGTAACCAGCAACGTCCAAACAGACTATAAAGATCCCGCTGGTGCCTTTTTTGTTGTTGTTGTTGTTGTCGTCGTCTGCCTGCGTGCGTGCGCCGGCTGCTGTTGCAGGGTTATGACGGTGTGATGGTGCTCGTGGCACTGGTAGAGTCTGTCTTATTGTAGTGATTGTGAGAGTAGAAGTGTTCTCTGGGTGGGGGGGGGTAACAAAGATAGAAGTGTTGCTGCTCGTGCTGTTGTGGTTCGTTTGTAATGGCTGGTATAAAACATGAGGTACGTATTGTCTGAGGTGTTGTGCTGCTATATCGCGTTGCCGTAGGTGCATTTGCACGTGGTAACGATTAGAAATTGCCAGGTTACTTCGCTAGTCCGAATATCACTATAATGCCACTACGAATGACCAGTAAGCCCTGCCTATAGACCTGCTAACATGACGACAGCGACCACGAATTACTAAAAACGTTTAACAACTGCAGATGGTTTTGATTATTATTTGCAGTAATTTTATATCGTTATTGTGCGGTTGTTGAAACGGATGTGTAAAAACGCAGAAAAAATTGCTTACCTGAGTGCGAATTGTGCATAATAGCACTAATGCTTCATAATATTTTTACATTTATTCTTTGCTCATATCAAATGTCTTTATTTGATATTTGTTTGCTGAATAGAATCTGTTACCTCGCACATTTTCTGTGTCGGTAAATATCTGTCAAAGCGCAATACACCTTTCATTATCGAACTGTACTAAACTGATACAGTGTCGCTTATATAGAAAGTATAGAGAGAAGAAGACCGTCTCGCGACTTCGGTTGTCTTCATCATTATCATGGTTTAGATACAGTCGTAGAATATACTCGCTCTATATATCTCGCTGTTTTCTTGCTCGTCGAATCGTTGCTGACAAACGCGTTATCAGTGCTTACTGCGGTCGTAGATAGCGTTGCTATTGTTGTCACAATACATTCAAAGCAGCGAATAACAAGACAATAAAATGTAAAAAGCGGGGGCAAAAAGGCAAAGACATTAAAAAAGGATTATCTGGATACAACTATCGCCAACTGACTACGATCGAACAAAGTTCGTCAATTTATTAATAAGTTCTATTTTTTTTTTTATATTCTATCCATGTCCTGGTTTGCCCGCAGTACGGGTCATGGCGTATACTACATGACCCACTATTGATGCATATTAAATACTTAAAGGTCAGCAGAAAAAAAAAGTTGTTCGAAAGCGGATTGGTGCTATGAAAATACATGCATGTGCTTGGTTCGTTTTTGGGATTTCGGTACAGTCTATTCATCTTAGAACTGGTCGCGTAGTACCTGCAGGTCGAAACTACTATTAATAACCGGTCATCTGTTTTTACTTCACGTGTGTTGCCGTCATCGAACCCAAAGCTTTAGTAGATGTATGCATGTATTGTAAAACCGAGTACTGCGTTCATCTCGCGTGTGCCTATATTCAGATGTCGTAGAAAAGTCGATATAGTGACTGATTTTGCTATGCCTGAATGCACTAGAGAACAGCAACGACGAAACGAGTATAGTTATTATTCTCTTTTAACAGAAACAGATTTACACGGCATTGGTGGTGATAAATTTTACGCCCACGTTCGCTCAAAAAAGGAAAGTGCCTGTAAACAATTTCTTGGTGAGGTGCCTGCCCGCAGACCCTGGCTTCGACACATCGGACGTATGTTAAACGCCTGCAATAGACAATGCTCCTATTGAGGGGGAGCATCGTTTGATATAACGATGCCATAACGACCGTTGCAATCAACGAAGTAGAAACATTTGATGATAGTAATAGTAACAAAACTATACAATATTAATATTATCCCTACTATATTAACTATCTACAGCGATTGTCGTCGCGATCGTTGTACCCTTATTGGTCACTGTTAGTGTACGCAGCCCCCGGGGGGTTCCAGATGGGTTTGTCGTTCGGAGCACTAGTGAACGCAATCTCAGTCAGGGATTCGTATGTTTTCCTTGTTCCGGTGTAATAATTACGACAGAAAATAAACGGGCCAGCTTCTAAATCATCATCATCATCATCGCGTTGTTTTAGGTTGGAGCCTGAGTGTGAACTGGCGCCAGCGCCTCCGCTGCTGCCGTTGTCTCTGCTATCTTTTGCGGTCAACTGGCGCCGTTACAGCTCATGAATATAGCAAGACCAGCAAAAACAACAAAAAAATAGCAACATCAACAACCTCTATCGCTACATTTCGTCTGAGAAATTTTCAACAACAATAACAACAACAATAACGCTCGCAGAAAAAGAGACCCAGAACAAACGTCGCGTGCGAGAAAGCACAAAACAAAGTCGAGTGCCCGACATAATTCCCGCTGGATCACCAGCCCCCGTTCCGTTAGTCACCCACCGTCTAATTTGCACTCAGCACGAGAAGTTCCAAAGGTGAGTGTGAAAGAAATTTCTATTACACGCAGTACATATTGTTGCCAAGTTAAGGATATGTAGAAGGCAGCTTGGAAGAAACGTAGGAAAGTGTAAAATTCATGTAGGTCTTCTTTTATTTGGAGGGGGGAAGACAGTAAATTTTTTCATTCATTAAATGTTAATGGCTCTCTCTGTGATGGTAGGGCTCTGGTAACGTGTTTACCTTCTAAATTTTGAACCAAGTGCTGGTCTAGATTCGAGTCCGGACCTAAATACGCTCCATTTCGTAGTGCGAGACAGTCGTCTGAAACAGTGCTTGATAGCAGGGTTAGACGAAACGTTTCTTATAGGATTAATGGCTACGAATTGTAGAGACAAACCGAATACATTACTTCGTTCGCCACAACGCCTGTAGCCGCATCGTTAGTGCTTCTCATTTTGGGGTTTTCCCGTGTTCTCCCCGCTGTTCTACTAAGTATGATTAGCAACTGGACATATGCGATTCGAACCGTCTAACTGTATTCGATTGATCCTTCTTCTTTACTTGGATCCAGTGCCGTTGTCAACGGACAACAAGAAAGCAAATGAGTTCCAAAAATGCCGTGCGGACTTGTTGTACATGTATCTACGTACAGCTCCCGGGATAAACTTTTTGAAGGCTTTGTTTTGATTTGGCGAGTAGAGGCCTCTAACTTGTGGTTGGTCCTTTTTTATCAACGGAGATGAATCCGTGTGTTGCGACGCGCTCGATTCTCTCCGATGCTCTCGATTTGGGGCACACGAAAGCCGCATTCGCGACGTAGAAAGCAACAGATAAAGATATATGCGTTTGAAATCCATCATAGATAAGTGGGATTATACAGTGTAAGGTAAACGACGAAGAAGTTTGACCATTGGTGTCTTTTACACATAGTTCGTTTTCTATACACAGTCCTTACTCGCCGGTTTGACTTGTTGTCAGATTGGAAGTCTATGATGCTGTTGTCGCGCTTAGGTTGCTTCGCATGCTACGCCGTTGTTGCGAGGGGTGTGGGGTAGGTTAAAGGTGAACCCTTTTAAAATGGGTCCAGCGCAAGCCGGCCGAATGGTTGGGCTTCCGCCTATCTGTTGCAGATACCGGTGCGGCATGGAAATTGCGAGAGTCGCAAATTCAAGCAGAAAAGTAATAGATGGAAATGGCCACGGCGGTAGTAGCGGCTCCGCCAGGAGCAGTAGTAGCCAAGAGCGTCGGCAATTGCAGGATACTACGATGATCGATTATTTGTGGAGGGTGCTTCGTCTGAAACAACTAGCTGACCGACCGAGAAACCAGCTACACGGCCAATCAACGATGCGGCTAACGAACCAGCGAATGTGGACCATAAAGTGGCCGTAGTCGCAGCAATGACGGTGGCGGAGCTTTGGTGAGTTCTTCCAAGTGCTGCTGCTGCTGCTGCCGCTACTGCGGCTGCTTGCATTGCCGTCATTTGCTCTTGCCGTGCGGGTTTCCTAGGACGTCGTTCGGCTATCGGCTAGCCAATGGCTAGGGGCAGCAAGAGATATTGACGGCAACTGTACGACGGAGGCTTAGCACTGGTGATGACCGGCTGCTGAACACTCGGCTGTCGCTTGTCCATTCACCAGCGTACGCACAGCCGGAGCGGCATAACTCCACCCGATGGCAAATATTATTATCTGTGTATATATAATACTGTATACATACATTTGGTGCTGTTCTGTGTACCGCCGTCTGTTGCCGCCGTCTGTTACCGCCGCCGCCGCCGCTGTCGCTGGTCTGCCTTGCCTTATAGCGTTGTCGTTCTGCTCATGCTCTCCACGAGAAACGGCTGCCGCAGCCGCTGCCATAAGCCTCCTCCAAACAAGTATTATGAGAGTAATGCTTTTTTCACGTGGTTCGAAACAAACTAACGCGGTGCTAGCGGTTCAGTCAGAACAGAGCACCGCAGCACAGAAACGCAGAGCAATGATTGGTCTGGTCGGTCCGTTCTCGGTGTATTGTGCCATTCACACGATGTCATGTCCGAGTGGGAAAATCCTTTGACGGCTGCCGTCCATCGCTATTAATGCTACTCCGCTTTGTTGCTTCACTGATGCTGTCCTCAGAATGGCTCGGTTAGTTGGAGTACAGTTGTACAATTCCTGTATAAGCCAGTAGAAACGGAATAGAATCAAACGAAAGAATAGTGGTTCGTCATCGCCTCGCGCTGTGCTTGGGGAGCTGTGCGAGCAAGGTTGCAGTCGCCGCCGCCGCCGCCGCCGCCGCTGCTGTTGATTTTGGCTCGTCGAACGTGGAGAGACATAGTAGTAGTGCGTACCGAGTGTGATATCTCTGCTTGTGTTCATTTGTGTGCATGTGCGGGTTTGTGAGTAAAGAGCAACAGTGTCTGCTGGTCGGAGTGCACACAGGGGCTCGAGGGGCAGATACGTGTTTGAGCGGATCAGATCAGATTGGTCCGCTGCAGTGCAGAACGTGTGTACGGCAGAAGCAGTTGTTGTGTGTGAACTGTAGTGCAATGGTGCGTCGTAGTAAAATGGCACGAAGTCCAAAGGAGAGCGAGGGTTTATCGAAGGCAGGCTCAGATAGTTTTTCGACGAGTCGATCCGGGCAACAAGACGCACTAGCCCCAGCCAGAAGCGGCATTGGCCACCGGATTATGTCCCTTGTTAGAAAAACCTCTAGACCTGATCGACTCGATGGTGAACAACAGCTCCAGTACGGAAGATATCACTTCAGTTTTGATATCATAAATACAATTTACATAATGTAATGCAGCCTTTATTGTGATGACTGTTACGTTTTGATAAAAGGAAATGTTTGCTTGTTGGCCATGAATAACCAACCGTTGGCTTACCTAATCTGCTTTAGAAAGTGGCTATGAAATACATTTATAATAGCAAAATGTCTGAAAATGTTAGTTGGGGAATCGTAGTATATCCGGTATTTTCTTCAGCAGGCTAATCGTAATATGTGTGTTCAGCACATTTGTTAAGCTAACTCTACGCTCGTTTGAATAAACTAAGGTATTGCATCCTTAGTTTCGCTTAGCTGAAGGCTACTCTCGTCTTTTAAAGTACCCAGTCTCTTAAACTAGAGCTATTCTAGATAGTTTTATTTGTATAATTTTTTTTTGTACTGGCTTTTATTGATGCAGAGCAGCCATATGGATATTTACCAGTAGTTCTGCTACGATATGGTCATGGTTTCATTGAACCCGCGCTGTATACATGTATTAAATCGGTTGCATCATTACATAACCGTTTTTTTTAACTCTTTGCCGACTTATGATTAAATTGGCTACTAACTATTACACGAACTTATATTTTGTCGAACCGCTTCACAAATGATTTCTTTTACGTGTCAACTTTCTTCTTGACTATTTATAGAATTGTTAGTTGTGGGTGTTATTTAACTTATTTTTGAACTGCCAGAGAAGGTGGGAAGTTTAAAGGCTAATGTGATTAAAAATTTACGCTACTGCTACCTACGCCTATTTAATTAAGCAACATCATTAACACATTCCTGTAATACTGAGGAAGCACTTATGATGCTTTTGCGATCGTTAAAAATGCACGCGCCGATTGTCTAAACCAAGGTGGAAGATCTTTTAATATTCGACAGCTAAATGATAATTCACGCGCGTTTGTTTTTCCGTGGCCAATAATGCAAATAATAAAAGTAGGAATCGGAGGTCCTGTATAAAGCGTTTTACATGATTGGTCGCGTTGCTTTGACTCTTTAGGTCAGAAGATCGTATATGAAAATAAATAGTTATCTAAGTAAAAAGAACTCGATTCAGCAATTATTTTTTTTCTTTAATTTTCTTGATTTTTATCAAATTTAGTTAGCCAAATTTAAGAGTTAGAATTTAGAGATTCTTAAAATAACCGTAACTCATTTTAGTGATCAATTCACTGAAGTACCAGCGTACGGTCATGGGTCACGAACTTAACTTTGTGAAGATTCACGGGATGCTTATTAGTTAGACATGACTCAGATTACTCGTAAAACTGGCTGTGATACCCGGGCACATCATTCATTTTAAAAAAAATATATATATTACACCTGTATTCACATGCGCATTTGTAAGTAACTTGTGCTCGAATAGTCTTCTTTAAAAGCTTTAATTCTCTCGTTGAAAGATGCGTCTGAGCTGATGCGTCTGGCCGGATATATATTGTATAGTTATAGTAATAACACCATGTGGCCCTATTGATGCTAGCTTTGAAGATTGGTTTTGGAACACAGCACCGATCTCAGGTTTATCTATCTACTTAACCCATAAACTGAACACGCAACGACGCTTATCTAAGGGCCACATACATCCGGTTGCAGTGGAACGTGTGTATTTTTCCATATTTAATCAAGATCACTTATTCATTCTATACCTATCTTAATAGTATTGGCTCTAATTCCAAGATTATCGGAAGCAGAACACAAGATTTTATTGTTATTGTTAGAGAGTGAGTTTGCAGCTGTTGAATCACTAAGTGCCTGTAGTACGCAAAGCGGTGGTGTTTGTTTTTGTGAGTGAGCGTGTGCGTATCTGTTTGGAAAACCTAATTATTGACCACTGAGTCATTTTTGGCTCAATTTACGTACAAGGTCGAACGTTAAATTGTTCCGAGGCCCAATTTTATGTTTATGTGTACTGTTTACAATTATATCATTAGCGTTGAAGAAGCTTCAGTTTTCGACTGTTAGCGGTAAAGGTCCGTGGGGGAAAATTTGACAATATAAAATTGTCATAAAAACTATGAACTGTAAGTATTAATGTTGTATTAACAGACAGATTGTTGCCTAGACTAACCGGCAATATTTAGTAGTAAAGTAATAAATATACATACACATTCAAGAAGACACGAACATAACATATAATGCCCTTTGTAGGATACATCATACTGTGTAGCATTACTTCAGTCTGCTCCCGTATTGAGTAATGCATTTTGTGCATAGATAAACGCGTATTTAAGGGTGTGTTACTTGGCCTTTTACTAGTGACGGGTCGATATGTAATGGCATATCATATTTATCCAGAATTATTTGCCTTTTTTTCTGAATTGATTTATGCAGAATGAGATCGTGATAAATTTATTATTATCAAAAGTTTATAACTGAATTAAGGGGTTATTAATTATTGACTCCTCAAATTGGCTTGAAAAGATTATCAGAACGGTATGAGCTGTACTGGTCAGTAAGATAGGGACAGCAAAAGGCACCAATAGAGAATTTATAGATATCCTATATTTTACATTCTCAAGACGTTTAAAACAAAAAAAAAAGGAAAAAAAAACACAATATTTCTGCTTCTTCCAACAACACCCGACTTATTCTATTTGCCGAATACATTTAAATCTGAACTCGGCGCTATATAACAATTCTTTGACAAACATTCCTGAGAATATCCCATAACATGATTTTATAGTTATTTATCCAGTTAGCTCTTAATAGAGTAGATATATAGTATGATTGAATGCGGTCAAATAAGCTCCCAGAAAAACAAATCATATAGGCTTTCGTAACCATAATACTTCATTTTAGATTTAAAATTTAGGTACAAACAGGTTACCGTTGCATCGATCATGTGACCTCGAAAAACTAAACAACATAATGGAGAGGCGTAGAAAGCTTATGATAAGAAGATCGTTCAGAATGTTTAGAAGCGTAGATTTCGAATCTAGTACCTCACAGTAACTAATCGCCCCTTCATCACCAGTATAATTCTGTACTGTGTTTCTCCACGTGCTTTTG